AAAAGGTAAATATAAGTCTGACAATGTATAGCTGACTTCATTGAAATACCTGGAGTGCATTACTTCGAAAAAGCGGATAACATTGTAAATACTCGATAATTATAATGTTGCTTTCTTTTAAGAGTATTTTTCTGCATGCATACTCTCTTGTGGACATGAGTGCTGACATATGGGTTTTGATACTTTCAATCGATGATTAAGCGGCTTTTAACCTGCGGTAGGATCAAATATTCCACAGTAGGTTACATAGTAGATCTTTTGCTTGGATAGTTAATACTTTGCAGATGAACAAGATTGAAAAACTGAATAAGGAAAGAACACAAAATGCAGATGAGAGAAATCTGATTCTGAAGGAATTTTATATTAGTTTAAGTGCTTCTTCTGAAAAAAGCAGTATCTCGTATTTCTGTGCAGATGATTCGAGAGAATTTTGAGCGCTACCATAGTACATGATCAGCTCTGCAAAAGCGCTAATTCGTACTAATCAAATAATGAGAATATTCTAGGTAGTGTATTTCTTTTACGTGCAAAAGTCTAAAAGAAAATCACAATATTTTTGAAAACAAACATTTTCCAGCGAAATTCGATCTGCCAAAATTCCGAACAATATTTCGATGCATCTTGACATACTTTTTCAAATGAAACTACTTTGAAACAATTCTACTTCGCTGATCCGATCAGTCTTCTAGGAACACTGAAATAGGCATTCTAAAAATATTCAGCGTTGTGAAGGCACCATTACTTTACACTGAAATACTTTCGCACTTATGGAAAGGTAGCCCTTTATTGATAGTATGTATGATGAAAAATTCAAGACGATATCTTATATCGTTTGCGAGATAATTTAAATTTACTGAAAAGTGGTGCAACGAAAAAAACTCGAATTCTCGCTCGGTAGCAATACTTTCGAGCTTCATATTTTGAGAACGTCTCTATGAATTGAGCTGAAATTTTGCGTTTCTTCTTAAATTTAGTAGTCGTACCTACTGTAGAAATATGAGGCAAATTGAGGAATTTCATTGAACGAGTCTATTAGAAAATCGGCGTCGCTTTGACACGTGATCGGATTCCATGAATTCAGAACTCTTGGGGAACTCTAAGAACTCTGGGAACACTTGAAACTCTTAGAACTCTTGCAACTCTTAGAACTCTGGGAACTCTTGGGACCCTTGGAATTCTTAGAACTCTGGTAACCCTATGAACTCTTGCAACTCTTGGAATTATTAGGACTCTTGGAACTCTTGGACCTCCCAAACATTCTTAGAAATATAAGACCTCTAACGACTCTCAGAACTCTCCGAACTCGTAGCATACTTCCCAATGACCACTGTTTTTCCCAAAGTACGAACACACATGAACACCAAAATCTCATGGCCAATCGATACAGCCAGTTGACTTAGGTATGTATCAAAAATAGTAGACCTTTTTAAAGGTCTGAGTGTGAGTGTGGATAGGAGTGTGAGTGTGAATGTGCCTGTCGCGGAGACAATTAACAGTAAGACAACACCCACACCCACACCCACACACTCGCACCCATACCCACACCCATCTCATTCCACACTCACTCACACCACACACGCACACCCACACCCTAATATATGCCGACAGACACTGCCCAACTACACATTCTTTATTTACATTTTCTATAAATCGTTGTAGATCAACGCACCATAGAAATATGACATCATATTCCGCACTTAGACGTCAAACAAAAAGATCGATAACATCATCAAGTATATCTCAAGTATAACACTTCATTGAAATCTGATGTAATGATGAATAAACGATAACTTTGTTATAGGTTCAAGTTAATCTTGAACATGTTCTTGGTTTTACATCAATGTCCAATTCAGCTGTTAGTCAAAACCATTCAACAATAGCTTATGCCGCTGGGTAAGATGATATTTACTGAACAGTGGTTAATCTATTTTCTATGCATACTTTTTTTTTTAGCTCTTCTACCGTTCTTTACAATAAAGACACACAGAAACAAGATTTTGTTATCAATACAACTCGTAAAACCATTACATCATTATCAATTTCACCAGACGGCAGATATTTAGCAACAGGCGAAGTAAATATTTCAGTTGTAATATAAAACAAAAACATAGATCTTATTAATGTTATTAGTCTGGTCATAAGCCTAAAGTACGTGTTTGGGATCTAAATGGTGATAGAAAAAGTTGTATCGAATTAGGTGATCATGAATTTTCTATTGATTCAGTGGTACGTAGGCTTTGATTATTGTATAACACCTGCCGATCGATTTGCTCATTTTTCTTTTCAACCACAATACAAAGATTTCAACGAATTAGTTATTTGCTTTATCTTGAAGAAAATAAGAGTTTTTTAATTATATAAAACAATTTAATCTGTTTGCTTTAGTGTTTTTCACCAAAGGGTAATCGATTAGTTTCGATTGGTTCATTACATGACGGAAATGTATATGTATGGAGTTGGCAATATAAGAAAAAACTTACTTCAAATAAATGTCTATGTTCTGTAAGAGAACACTTTTGTGTTTTTTTCAATATTTTCAGAAAGTCATTTGACTACATTTATGTTTAGATTCGTCGTGTTGCGTTTGCAGAAAACGGACACTATTTTGTTACAGTTGGTAATCGTCATGTTAAATTCTGGTATTTGATTTCAAGAGCATCGGTATGATAATTTTTTTCGAAGTTTTACAAAAGAATGATGCCTTCAGTGTAATGCTGAGTAAAATCAAAATATGAAAGCCGATATTCCGTTTGCCTTGTTTATCACGAGAAAACTGTTCTTTATAGACATTTATGGACAGATTTCTTCATTGTTGCTAAACTCATAGCGGCTAAAGTTAAAGTTGAACCACACGATAAGCATATTAATTAGATGTCATTTATATAAGACTTCTGATCGTCATTTCAAGTCATCAGTCAGTGTTTGATTGGACTCAAGGAGTATTTGCCATGGATTCTGATAGCTTTTTAATAAGTCTCTCGCAGTATGATGATGTCTGATCTGTGTCTGTCACAATCTCTAGCAATTCTGGCCCATGTCCTTGGCAGTTCCTGAACATCGTCCGTTATGGACACTTTACTAATTAATCTCTTCCACAAACTGAAAGGCTAGATTCTGGAAACTATAATTTATCTATATTTGTCGCTTTGTAACATGTCAAAAAACAGCCGTTTTCCATATCAAACACCTTGAATAGATTCAGCGAAGTTACATTCTAATATATAATTGCTACTCATGCATGGTATCCCGCACTTTGTCAGTTTCGTAGTATCAGTAGAATGGAACGCTGTGTCTCTGACAAAAGTGTTCAACTGTGCCTTGTGAGATAAGGAATACGCTGTTCTTTTCAATATGCTTTTGTGGATCTCTTGACATGATTTTCTAAACATTGTTTAAATAAAATCGATGACTGAGCTTCCGCTGTTTCCATATCTCCAAACTCTGATTTTTTCAATCCACCACATTGTGTTTTAACTTGAACACTACATATTCTTTGTTTCTGACCCTTTGCACTTTCCTTTTTTCTCAGCCATCCTAAAGGTATTGATTCTTGTCGTCTACGAAATTCTTCGAAAATTTCTGTATTAGTTCTTGCCAGCAATGACTCTTCCTCCCTTGTCGATAGATTTTACATCTTCGTCCTCTTAGCCTAGGATGCGTAGTGAATCGATCTTCGATTCACGTTACCTGCAATTATTTAATTAATTAGAATGTCTGTCATAATCTATGATAAGTCTGAAATCCTATTCATAATAATTTGTGGGTAGAGAGGGAAGACTTTTACAAAATTTCTACTCTATGTACTTCACCAACCTTTTCAGATTATATTTTTCAAAAAACAGATATACTGGCTCTCATCTTAAGCTGATTCAAATGTTCTCGTATTACATAAACCTCATTTCTTTCTCCTTTGTTATAGCACATTCATTTTTTTCAGAGACGAAAAGCTGACTTGTCAATATACTAGATTAAATCATTCGATGCCAAACGTAATTCTTTAGAGAAAAGTCTATCGATTTTTTACTTCCGTTATTCTGAAGACAAATGATGAGTATTCTCATTCGAATGCATCATTTGGATGCGCATTTTTTACAACTCATATAGTATTTTCAACACTAAAAAGAAAAAGGTTTTAAAGAATTTTTTTAAGGCATCTTGAAGAAGAAAAAAAGATCTTCATATGCAAGAGTGTGATTTGATGATAAAAATAATTCTTTTTCAAAGTTTGAATTTTCAATGGAGAAAAGGTCCTACTTACTAGAAAATTGCAATATAATTTTGCTTCATACTTTCCTATTGAAAAGAAAAATCAAACTCAACAAAATCAATGATGTGTATTTTCTATGAGTAAAAAAAGCGTTTTATTTTTCCTTAATAACAGATTAATCCTGTATCATTAAGTGGACATGACGCATTATTAGGCGCACGAAAAAATCATTTGTTTACTGATGTTGTTTGTGGACGTGGCATTTGTGCTGGTTTAACATATACTGTAACCACCAATGGTTTTATTTGTCAATTTGATGAACATCGAAACTTACGCGCTGACAGAAATCTCGAAGTAATAAACACATGTTAGATGAACCAAATACAAATGAAAACTTGTTTTTCCTTAGGAAAAAACCAACTGCTTAGCTATTAGTGATTCATATATTGCTGTTGGATGTGACAAAGGTGTTGTTTATATATTATCTCCTCAAAGTCTTGAACCCATTACATCAATACGACTACCACATCATTTGGGTGTTGATATTGGCTCGACTACATCCGTTGAGTAAGTAAATTCAAACTTTTATCTTTTCATAAATAATCGGGTGTCTTTCAGTCCAATACGATGTCCACAACAATCAAACATTGCTTTTCCAGACACAATAGCTATTTGTTTAGATGAAGCGAAATCATTGGTAGATCATTTGATTTATTTTCATCTTATAGATTAAGTTATCTTACTTTAGATAACATGTTTTTATAATGATCATAGTTTCTATATTTGCGACATAAAAAATGAACGATCAATAGAAAAACGTAATTCTCATATGTATCATTCAGGATGTGTTTGGGCAATCGAAGTAAAAATTAATTATATTTGTGATTGTTTTCTGTTATTTCCATTATTCTAGACATATTCTTTATCAAGTGCTTTATCTTCTTCTAATCCTCATCAGTTACCATTTATAACATGTTCATCTGATGATACTGTACGATTTTGGTCATTAAATAATAATACACCTGATTTATGTTCTGTTTCATTACAAGTTGCCAATATAGGATGTAAACAATTAACGAAAATTGTCTATTTAGATGAAGATTGTTCAAATCTATGTCATAGACAAACAACTCAAGGTAAGATTGTTTTAATTTTCTGAATATATTTATTGTTTAAGAAGTATTAGAGGTGTCATCTAACATTCTATGTCATTGTAATTTAACATAGCGAATGTTCACATCTCAATAAATGTTTTTCTTTTCAATCGAAAATTCTTTTCCCATAAAAAACGCCCATCATTACTGTTAAGAAAATCAAATAATTTATTAAATTTCGACATGAACTGAGAGAAAAATCTAACAATTTAAGGAAGTATTCACTAATAACAATTGCATTTTCTGTAGAAATCATACAGGAGTCGTCGTCTTTTTTCGAGTGAATATCAATAAATTCGTAGCAGTTAATTTAGTAGAAGGATATCTGCAAGAATAATTCGCTTTATGTGTAGAAAACACGAAGCACACTAAAATCTCATTTGAAACATTAGGAGAAGGGTCAAAATCATCATAAATTTACCCTTCTCAAAATTCAACAATTATTCGGTTTGAAAAATTTAACTGAAATTAAAATTTCTATTTCAAGATTTTTAAGCTTGTTTAAATTTAAGCGTGATGCCCCTATGGAATAGAGAACGACCCTTTTGTTTTCTAAGTCTTTGTGATCTGTCAGCGTTTCTATGCAACTTAAATGAGATTAATGTTTTGAAAAACAATCATGCTTTTTCGAATATTTCCATACTGTCGGTATTTTAATCATTAGAATGCCATCGGTCATTTCTAAATCAATTCAATTATTGTTAAATTCAAAATTTATCAATTAAAAACGAAAACTAAATTTTTCAGAATTACTAATATCATTAATTTACAGAGACTGACTTTGAACAAGAGAACTTGTTTGAAAAATGTGTTAGAATATTATGAGTATGATCTGTAGTAAAAGTTACGTATATATGAGAGGATGGACTGTTCTCTGTTGCACTATTGTAGCCGAGAAGTAAAGAGTGCAAGATTTCGTTGGTAGCATTAAGAATAAAAGATGAGCCTGATGGAGGAAATACGAGAAAAAGAAAAAGAATTCAAACTGATATTTAAAGCATGTTCGGGACAGGACTTCTTCCTTTTTCTTTATTCCTACTGAGGAAAAACAAAAAAAAAACTTTGCAAAGAACGCTACGCTCAGGATAATCAAAACAATAGATTGGTTAGTGTTCTATGTTTCTATAACTAAATCTTGATAGCGAAGCGCATAGCAACAACAACAGGTGTGTTCAAAAAAAGTTAGGTACAAGGCATCATCAGAGGAACCAAAAGAGAAATGAAATGAAATGAATGGTGAATGTATATTGATGTAGAAAAGAGAAGCAAAGAGAAATCCATCAGTCAGTTGAACTCTCAAGTACGAATAGAGCAATAATCCATCACGGATCCGGCATGTTGACCCAAAACGATAGACGATGCACCAGCAGTGCACAGAGTAGCAGTTGCATCCGCTAGAAAATTTTTAGAGAAATGATGAAAATGTATTGCCTCTCCGAGTTGCTCATACTTTTATCGTAAACTAAACTAAAAGTATAATAGTATAATATGCAACATAGATTCTATACGACTTTTAGGATACTCATAGCACGATTCATCTATTTGTTAGAACCTTACGAATCTGTTATTAATGTCTTGATGAATGCAGTCACGCTTGCATGGGCAACGCACCAACACTGTAAGCAATAGTAATTGTGTCCGACAAAAATTTGAGCTTGCACCGCTCATCTATAAAAGAAGTATTCCATTCGTAAATGAGCTATATTTATCCTTCGAGAAACAACATACGATTACAGACAGCAAATTTCATAAAATTTCGACGAGTCTAACCAATGATCGATTTTTCCGAACTTTAAGTCGTCGTCAATCCTAGACAGTAATGTTATATGAATATATTTCAGATAGGCTTTTGATAATAGAATTAATTTTCGTACATTTTAATGTCAAGAAATGTACAAAAGATTTCATCACTGTATATATTAATCGACTCCACATATTTTATTAAACATGTTTTCTTTGTTTTTGTTTATTGAAAATAATTTATTTGACGCACTCTTTTAGAATCATATGAGTCTGCATCAAAAGTCGGTGGTCGTTGTATGAAAATGGCTCCCGATGGTTTATCATTAGCTATTGGTGATCGTAGCGGAAATATTCGTATATTTGATATGCAAACATTTAGACAAACAGCATTTATTGAAGCGCATGTGAGCGACGTACTTAGTATTGATTATGGTCAATCAACTTCTATGAGTTAGTATGCGTCTATCAAATAAAAATCAAGTTTTATTAAATTTCTTTTTTTCTAAATCATAGATGTAACTTTTCTGGCATCAAGTAGTCGCGATCGTTTTATTCATATATTTGAAGCATCAAGAGATTATCAATTGGTTACAACATTAGATGATCATACGGGAGCTGTAACTGCTATTCGTTTTACATTTTCATCTGAAACTTCCAAACTACAATTGATCACTTGCAGTACTGATAAATCAATGATATTTCGAACAATATCTAAAGTAAATTTGGGCTTCTATGCGTGATATGCAGTATAATAGTAAAAAAGAGTTGATTTTTTCAAATATGAAAAATTTCATTGAGTATAACATGTACCATGAGTGGTTTGACTGTCAAATGCTTTACTTACTAGGTGAATTGGTAAGTCTATTTTGATTTCAGAAAAATAGGCATTACTGCTAAAAATAATGCTAAATTAATAATAATACAAAGTATTAGCCGAATAAAGCATTATCTATTACTGATACTAATCGTAATCTAACACTGCTGATTGAAAATTCAGTTTTGTACTGTTGTAAATCATGAACTCAAGTATCTGAAAATGTAACTGTCAAAGAGTTAAATACTTTTATGTTCATTTTCTTTGCAAATACTTCGAATATTCCATTGTTCCTCACGTTGATATATCGCAAATTAATTCATAGACTCATCGATGAAATGACTAATGCCAATAATTTTCTAAGATGATTGAGAGCGCACTCATTCTTTAACATAAAAAAAAGTATTAAGTGATTTTTTTTAATTGTATAGTTCGACAAGAAAAAAAAAATTACTATTCTAACTCATCAACTTTCATTCGTCACACAATACATGATGAATGATTTGAAAATTGACAAATGTTTTGAAAACGTTCAGATTCATAGTTGTAGAACATAAATTATTTTTCTTTTAGAATGAAGATGGAAAATACCAATTTCTTCGTTCACATAACATTTTTGAAAAACAAACATTTTACGACTTAACAGTCGATCGTTCACATGAGCACATTCATACAGCTTGTCAAGATCGAATGATACGGTAATTATTCTGTTTCTTGTTTGAGAGATTGTAGACTTTTTCTATTTCCCATTTCTAGAGTATATAATACTGCAGACGGTAAACGAGTTCGAGTTAGCAAGGGTTCAGTCAGTGATAATGCTGGTTATTTAATTAAAATTGATATTGATGCATCCGGAAGATATATAGCAACATCATGTTCAAATAAATGTGTCTATGTTTGGGATACAATAACATCAAAATGTATTGCATCGTTATGTGGCCATAGTGAAATTGTTACTGATTTAAAGTTTAGTCATGATGGAAGTCATCTATATACAACAGCAAGCGATAGGTAAGACCAATTTGAACGTTTAGATTTGTTTCATATTTGACTCGAGATCTTAGCTGTATTTTTGTCTGGACTTTTGTTGGGTTGCATGTGGTACCTTCAACTTGTCGATCAATGTTGGAGCCATCACCGAAAACAAATGATCTTGAAGTGTACGTTTTTATTTTCGATAGCTTCTGAAGTTTTTTTCTTTTGAATTCTTCTGTTTAGAACTAAGACCGCTGAAACAAATTCACAGGTTGGACTTGAATGAATTATTGTAGTTGAAAGCAAATTTTAGTTTGATTAGACTGAGAATAGAACTGATAGACATCAACTGGAAACCAATTCTAAGGAAAGTTTATCGTCAACTTCTGAAATTAGTGTGACAGTGTGTATTAAGTTGAAATTATAATTTTCGTCGAATAAAAATAATCGTTTATTTTAGCATTTTGAAAGTGAACTCACTAATTCACAAGCATCAGAAAGTGTCGATAAAGAGTAAATATATAGCTTTTATTTGTTTTTCATAAATAAGAAAATAATTATTTAGTTCAAATGATAAAGTGATTTGTTCACAAAACGAATATTCAGTTTTTTCCAGTAAAAATTTTTCTGCTTTTTGCTCGATTGAAATTTAAAAAAATACAATTCACACCTTATTTATATAGGTGACGATACAACTTCAACTAATTCGTATGACCCACTGGAAAAAGCAAATTCATTCTTTACTGAAAACTATGATCATGAAGGTCTAACAAACACGAAAGTAGTTGATGCTAAAGCTCGCAGACTTCAGTTTAAACGACTAAATAGTATTTCATTTCGTTATCATTCACTATCAAAGGGAACAGAGTAAGGAATAAAACACAAAACAAATAATCATTTTCATAAACTTATTTTTAAAGATCGCTAAGTGCGTTATCGACATCAGTAAATGAGGCACAAGAAGATATGCCTATAATCGATCCAACGAGTGGAAATACACAATCAGAAACAATCGGTGATATGACAACGAAAGCAATTGCGTCTACATCATCATCAAATTCAAAGACTTGTGGTAAGTTTTCGATCGTTGGATAAGTTCAAACAAGTAAGAAATCTATGCATGGTAACGTAGCTTAATTGTCTCTAGACCAATAGTAAAATCATATTTACAGTTACTAGTAATAACCTGATTATATTCCTTGACAACTTTGTATTAGTTTTGCTGTTACTTTGCTGTAGCAAAGCAGAAGACCCCTTATCGATTAAAAATTCATATAGAAATTTATAGAAGTAGCAAGTGTCTTTTTTAATTCCCAACCAAAACAATATTTCGACATTTTCAAATATTCTCTCGATGCTTTTAAAAAAACCTAGATGCAGGATTGGTGAGCTCATATGTATAAGAAAAAAGACAAAATATTGATCGTTGTCAAAATGTTTGTATTGATATGGAACACTTGTGGATAAGTGAAAAATACAGAAACTTTGTGAAGAAAATTTGAGCCCATCAGTTAAACTTTCAACATACAGACGTTTTTCATATATCAATCAGGAAGAATTCTTCCGATATCCTCTACCTCAATGCGATTAAAGTGATGATAATAATTCTTATCTAGATTTGATATAAGTGACACTTTATGCGTTTTCTGAGAAAATATCCCTAATTGAGAACAATTTTGGTCAAAAACTCAGTTTTACAACACCGTTCAAGACTAGCTCTATGATCTGACATATGAATCGAAGCTTCAATGTTGAATTTCGAATTTCAATGAGTGACATTAACAAAGTATACAAAAAATATTTCCGTTCCAACTAATCCTTCAAGCTTATCGACGATTCATTCACAGCTCAAAATACACGTAAACAGAATAAAACTTGGATCCTTATTCTAGCGATAAAATGAGAGAGCGAGATTATCGATCCTCTTGGTAATGATGTTTATGAGTTGCTTTACATCTTCAGAGTGTGTCCACAACACATTCTATACATGTTTGTACAGGAGAGACAAAACGAGAGAAGAAGGATCAGTGACGCATGACGACATTATCGTCACACTTATTCACATTGTTATATTCATAGAGAGTACTTTCAGTTCGATGTAAAAATATTCGATTTCGACTTTCCGCCACTAAGACATTTGCCAATAGTAGGCGAATGTTTAATGACTATGTGGGTGAAATTCCATCGAATTTTCTTTAGTTGAAAAATGCTCAGGCAATGACTCGGCGAGAGTTTAGTTGACTTTCACCAAATGACAAAAGTACAAAAAAAGTACTAGTAAAAACCTAATTAAGGAAAGGTTGTATAGTCAACTATTTGCCCAACACTTTGCAGTTCAATTGTTATTTGAATCTATTACGATTTCAACAATAGAGCTAGAATCCGAAGATCGTTTTTATTCATCCACTAATTCTTTGAATAACATGATAGAAAACAGGACATCATCATTATGGTCTCACACCTGTCTACCATCATATGTAACACATACATAGAACTCGATGAATAGAGTCGTGACGGTAGAGAACCGTTAGTACTAGCGCCAATACTCATTGTTTAACCACCATAATTCGTTCAAACATGTTTAGACGTGAATTCTCAAACACAATGTGTTCCATCAGGTGCGTTGTTAGGAGGTCCCATGATGTCAACAAGTAAAAATCTGACAAAATCTCGTTCAACACAAGATCTTACTTCTACTACTACATCTGTACAACAGCCAACATCGACCACATTGAATCATGTAATAATGCTTCATACAATTGAAAGTTCATCAAATTTATCAGCAATATTTTAGGTACAGCTAGGGCCACCAACAGTAACAGATCAAACAATCGAAAGTCGTCGACATCCATCAGCACCAGATCTCAGTGAAATGCAGCAAGAACAGAACGTTTTATCACTATCTGTAGCCAGACCAACATTCAACAATACGAAGCAAGAGTAAATTTTTTGAAAACAGTTGCTTTTTGAATTCTTTTCTGAAACATGATCTGAAAGGAGTGTTGAAATATATTTGGCAGAAACTTGTATCCAACCTCACCCCTGCACAGACCGTGACAGACGGATCTCTAGAACGTAACAGTAGTCTATCGTGTTTCACATTTTTAATCCCATAGAGATTGCACTGAGTGACTTACTTTTCGTACCACTCCCTCCCGAACTTCGAACACGGCACCGGATGTTCGGAAATGACTTTTCTTGGAAAAAAATTATAACGACAGTTCGTAAACACCGTTGTACGGAAGATTGTAATAGAGAACCAGTAGATGGCAAGGGTTTGACAGGATGTTCGGAATACGATGTTCTTGCTGTATTTGATGTGGTATCTGGAAATCGTAATGAAGAAGGTCGGATGTTCGAAAGGCTCGGTTGAGGTTATACTTGTTACAGAAAAAGATCAGAACATTGGCAGGAATTCCATAAAAGAATTTACTGAGAGATCGTAATGGATATATAGATTTCTTACAGAAAATAATAGGTTCTATTTATTGGTTATATCCATGATTATGTAAAAAGGATTTAAGCTTCATCTATCTGTACTCTCTATATTATATTAACTTAAAGTATAAAACTGATATTTGTAACAGAATATATTGAAGGAATAAGGAGAATAAAAACTAACACTAGAGTTAAAATAGTAAACAGAAGAGCAATCTTGATTGCTTGAAGTCATCGAAACGTTCACTATATATGATTCTAGATTGCAAGACTAGCGTACAACTTCATATTCTCTCACAAGTGAACAAACCTGACATACTTACCACCTTCCTGTCTTTGTCTTTACGAACTTCCGGACATTGTCATGCCAATTTCCAGTGGAATTTTGCTGTTCAATCTTTGAAAGTTATTATCAGCACTCTTTTCGAACTCCTGTACAGACTACATTCCGACACCCTGTTTTTTTTTCTCATGTTCGGAGATTCGTAAACAAATTATTTTACCGCAGTTCGGAGTAAGAGAGTGATGCGAAGTGTAATTTTCCTATTGCACTAAAACCTTTTTTATTAAATATAGATAGATAAATATACATTAATATCTTTTAGTGACATATTTGTAAATGATGATCGTTTGTCTATGGTCAATCATTTGGCCGATGGTCTTCTTAAATGCCTTAATCAATTGGAGAGTCTTTATGCAACGGTGAATAAATTTTTGATAAAAGTGTTGTTTGTCATGTTTTAAGTTGCTGTTTTGAAGGTTTCACAAAGCTTGAACACACGTGATAGAATTTTAAAGCAACATATCAAACAACTATATTCCGATCTTCAAATACGTATCACAAGTAATCAACAACAACAAGATGAGGAAAATGAGCAAATCCAATTAATAATATTGTGACTGATGAATATTTTTACCTTATCTTAATTACTTTTTGTGCCTAGTTTCTTAAGTTTCATCTTATCTCTTTTGTTTGTTCTTTTTTCTTAAATTTTGTTCGTGACTATTTCTTTCAGCGGCGAGATCTATCATTCTATTCTTTTCCTCTACCGAGAGTAGACATACATTCGAATTTAGATATATTAAACTACCAAAATACAAATAACGTAAATTTCGACTTTACTTAAAAATCTGCTCAAGTAGCAGTTATCTATAGGATTGATCCAAAAAAAACATGAAGTTTTTCGAACAAAGTTCTAAAAAATTTCGACACGTTTCGATGCTTGCACGAGGAGTAATCATCAGCGGTCTTTAAAATCAAATACTATCTAGTTCCAAAGGAAAAAAAATCAGGGATGAACTACTTCGTATTCGAAACGAATAAAGAATCAATTCATCAAAGAAGTTTTCTAATAAAGGACTGATTATCGAGTAAAAGAAATGACCAACAAGAGCTCATCTTCATTATAGCTTTTTCGAAAGTAGTATAATCAATTAGGGGATTTATTGTTCTATATCGTAGTAAGTAAGACAAGAGTGAATCAAAAGCTCAAATTGAGTTGGATTCATCTTTATTTTAGGCTGATATCAATATGATAGAAATGGTGAGTTACATATGAGGAATGCAAAGCTAATATTTTGTGTTTTTACGTTAAGATTCATATTGATATCATGCAAATGGTGAGTTTCACATGACAAATGGAAAATTACGATTTCATTTCTTCTTTCTTTGTAGATTACAATCGATATGATAGAATTGGCACGTTACATGTAATGAATATAAAACTAATCCTTTCTTTTTTTTTATACGTTAACATTTATATCAATATGATACAAATGGTGAGTTTCACATGACAAATAGAAAAAGAAAATTTCATTGATTTTTTATTTTTAGACTTCAATCGATATGATAGAAATGGTAAGTTACACATTATGAATAAAACATTAATATTCTTTTTCAATATTTAGGTTCATATCGCTGCAAGATAGATGTTAAAGGACGTATTACAAGCAGAAAAATCACATTATCTTTTTGTATTTCTAGGTTTATATCGATAAAACACAAATATTGGCTTGTTAAGAAATTTTTGTCGTTTTTTTGCTAAATTTATTT